CCTATCCATGCCCTTCATGATTTTATAAACTTCTATAAGGTCACCTGTAAGCCTCCAACACTCCAGAGAAAATAGCCCCAGCCTATTCAGCCTCTCTCTGCAGCTCAAACCCTCCAACCCTGGAGACAAGGATTGAATGTAGTATTCCAAAGCCAGCCTAAACAATGTCCTGTACAGTCATAGCATGACATCCCAACTTCTATACTCAGTGCACTGACTAATAAAGGCAAGCATACCAAATTCCCTGCCCGGTCTACCTGCGACTCCACTTTCAAGGATCTACGAACCTGCACCCTAGCAACACTGGCAACACTCCCCATAACCTTACCATTCAGTGTATAGATCCTGTCCTGATTTGCCCTACCAAAATGCAGCACCTCAGATTTATCTAAATTAAACTCCATCTGCCACTCCTCAGCCCATTTGCCTATCTGATCATGGTCTCGTACTCCAAGATAGTCTTCTTCGCTGTCTACTACACCACCAATTTTGGTATCATCTGCAAACTTACTAACTATACATCCTATATTCACATCCAAATCATTTATATAAATGACAAAAAACAGTGGACCTGGCACTGATCCTTGCAGCACACAGCTGGTCACAGGCCTTCAATCCATAAAGCAACCCTCCACCACCACACTTTGTCTTCTACCTTCGAGACAATTTTGTATCCAAATGGCTAGCATTCACTGTATTCCTTGTGATCTAACCCCGTTAACTATGCAGAACCTACTCGAACACATTACCGAAGACCATATAGACAACATCCACCACTCTGCCTTCAATCATCTTTGTCACTTCTTCTAAAAACTCAATCAAGTTAGTGAAAACGATTTCCTGTGCACAAAGCCATGTTGACTATCCCTAATCAGTCCTGGCCTTTCCAAACACATGTAAATCCTGTCCCTCAGAATCCCCTCCAACAACTTACAGACTGCTGATTTCAGGCTCACTGGCCTATAGTTCTTCCCTGGCTTTTCTTTACCAACTTTCTTAAATGATGGCAGCACGTTAACCAACCTTCAGTCTTCTGGCACCTCACCCATGGCTATCGAAGATACAAATATATCAGAAAGGAGCCCAAATATCACTTGCTTAGCTTCCCACAAAGTTCTAGCGTACATCTGATCAAGTTGGGGGGACTTATTCAACTTTATAAGTTTTAAGATGTCCAGCACCTGATCCTCTGTAATAAGGACACTTTAAGATAACATTGTTTATTTCCCCAACTTCTTATATTCTTCTTCACAGTAAACACTGATGCAAAATTCTTGTTTAGTATATCAACAATCTCCTATGGTTCCACAGAGGGGACCTTGCTGATTTTTTGAGGGGACCTTGCTGATTTTTAAGGGGCCCTATTCCCACCCTAGTTACTGTTTTGTCCTTCGCGTATTTGTAGAATCCCTTTGGATTCTCCTTAACCCTATCTGCCAAAGCTATCTCATGTCCCCTTTTTGCCCACCTGATTTTCCTTGAGTATACTCCTACTGCCCTTATATTCCTCTAGGGATTCACTCAATCCCTGCTGTCTATACCTGACATCTGCTTCCTTCTTTTTCTTTAGCGAAACCTCAATTTTTCTAGTCATTCAGCGTTCTCTACACCTACCAACTTTGCCCTTCACAATAACAGAAACACACTGTCCCTGGATTGTTGTTATCTCATTTTTGAAGGCTTCCCACTTTCCAGCCATCCTGCGAATATCTACCCCAATCAACTTTTAAAAGTTATTGCCTAAAGCCATCAAAATTGGCCTTTCTTCAATGTAGAACTTTAATGTTTATATCAGGTCTATCAATTTCTATAACTATTTTAAAATTAATAGAATTATGATCACTGGCTGCAAAGCACTCCCTGACTGACACCTGTCATTTGTCCTGCCTTAATTCCCAAGAAAAGGTCAAGTTTTCCTCCTCCTCTAGTCAGTATATCCGAAAATTTTTTTGTAAACACTTAATTTCAACTCCATTCAAGCTCTTAACACTATGGCATTCCCAACCTGTGTTTGGAAAGTTAAAATCCCCTACAATTACAACCCTATTATTCTTACAGATAACTGAGATCTCCTTACAAATTTGCTTCTGAATTTCCCACTGACTGTTGCTTAGTCATGTTTAAAAACAAACTTCTGTTTCACCAATTCAATTCACCAAACCACTCACTCATAATTTCCCTTCCTAATGCTCCTGGTGGGCAAGTACAAGACTTCAATGTCCATCACCAAGAGTGGCTTGGTAGCACCACTACTGACCAAGTTGGTAAATCCTAGAGGACATAGCTGCTAGATTGGATCTACAGCAGATGAAGTTACTAACAAGCGGGGAAGAACCATACTTGACCTCACTCTCACTGTGCTAAATGGGATAATCTTCAAACAGATTTAATTACTCAAGGTTCGGGTATCCATGAGATTTTATGGGCCATCAGCAGTAGCAAAATAGCACAAAATTGGCCTGGCATATACCCCACTCTATAATCATCCCAGGGGATCAACTCTGGTTCTTTGAAGACTACAAAAAGACATGCAAGGAGCAGCACCAGGCATACCAAAAAAAAGCTGTCAACCTAGTTACAATACAGGAGCACTTACATGTCCAACACTGCATTGTGATGGACAAATAAACAACTCAGTGGAGAAGGAGTCTCTACAAATATCTCCATTGTCAATGATGTGGAAGATTAGCACAACAATGCAAGAGGTAAGGCTGAAAAATACGCAACAAGCATCTGTCAGAAGTGCCAAGTGGATGATCCACCTCAGCCAACTCTGAATGTCCCAAGCATCATGGGTGCCAGCCTTCAGCCAATCAGATTTGTTCCTTGACATCAAGAAAGAGCAGGAGGCACTCAATACTGCAAAGGCTATGGGCCCGGATAACATTCTGACAGTATCCAGGCAAAGCAGCCTGCTTCCAAAAACATTCACTCCCTCTACCATCAATGCACAGCAGCAACGACGTGTACCATTTACATAATGCACTGTAGAAATTCACGAAGGTTCCTGAGACAGCAGTTTCCAAACCTATGACCACTAAATCTAGAAGGATAAGAAGGCAGATACATGAGATCACCACTATCTGCAAGCACCTCGCCAAGCCATTCAGCATCCTGACTTGGAAATAAATCATTTTTCCTTCACTATCACTGGTTCAGAATCTTGGAACTTCATCTCTAACAGCTACACAACATGGACTGCAGCTGTTCAAGATAGCAGCTCACCAGTACCTTCTCTAGAACAATTAGAAATGACCATAAATGGTGGCCCAGCAACCTACATTCTCTGCATGATTTTTTTGAAAAATGCTGTATTTAAATGCATTTTGAAAATCCAGGCATTTCATTTCTACTGATTCCCCTCTATCCTCCAGTAATGTCACTTTGTCAAAAAAAAACTCCCAGAGCATAATTAAAGACAATTTCCCTTTCACAAAACCAAGCTGGCTCTGCCTGATCGCAATGCAATTTTCTAAGTATTTTGATATAATCTCCTTACTAATGGAGTGTAGTGCCTTCTCTATGACAGATATAAAGCTAACTGTTCCTTAGTTTCCTTTTTTTTCCTGAATAAAGGTGTTATCTTTTCCAATCTGCTGCAGCCCTTTTACAAGCTAATGAAGTTTGTAAGATTCTAAGTACATTTTTTAAGAGGTCATAAAGTCTTTTGAAATAGTGACTTAAGGACATAATTCTGAAGGAAGTATGCAACTTAAGTGCCTAGCAAGACATCTGAACTGAAGATTTATTAAGTGTTTATAAAGTTGAACTTTTATAGCATAGAGAGAAAAGAGACCAGGCAACAAGTTTAAGTTCAGTCCAGTTATGAGGTTTCAGTTCAGAAAAATTAGGATTTCAGTGCAGAAGAGCTTCTTCCGAGCAGAAGGGTTATAGTTTGTAAAGTCTCCAAACTGTGAGAGTTCATTTGGAAGCTTTCAAGCTGTCAAAACTGAAAAGAAGTTTCATTCACCAGAACTGGGAATAAGTCTCTACACCAGCAAAATGGGAGAGTTGGTTAAGTAAGAAATCAAAGAGCTATGATTGGAGTGGGCTGCATAGCTTCTCCTGCTAATTGATCGCTCCATTAAATTTTGACCATTGTCTTGCAACAACCTGTTTAGGAAACGCGTGCCTGTTACTGCATTTTTCTTTGCAGCCGGAAAAGGTTAACTTGCCAGGCTTGCTGCTGAATATCAGGCATTTCAAATACAGTGAGCATGAGGCATTTGTCCATTAATGAAATAAGCTACAGTTTAGTTTACAAGGCAGGAAATTACTACAAAGCTATTTCATTAGCATCTTGATTATCTATTGACTTGGATTCCTTTTCTATTTTGTCCATAAACCATGCTTTAAAACATCATATTTAAAATAACTTGTTCTCTAAACCTTTTGCAAAGAAAGGTCACAAAATTTCTTCAAGCTCAGGTCGTTATGAGTCAGTTTCATCCAGCAGCTAATCACTGTTTCTAATTAGTTTGCAATATTATTATTCTTCTAAATGTAGCACAGAAGTCCTTGTAATTTGATAGAATAAAAAAAACTAATGCGGACTGCAAAATTACATAAGCTTCAATAAAAGAAATAAAACCTTATCAATTTTTAGTGAGTGATTTTGGTTGAGAATTAGATATGCACCTGGGCATCAACTTTACCCTCCTGGTCTTCTTTCAAAAATGCCACAGTATTTTCTGTATTTATTTGCCAGGGTCCAAAGATAAGACATTCCCTCAGAACTGGATTGAAACATCATTCCAAATTGTGTATTCAACTCGGCATGAAATTTGAGCCACTAATCTTCTAACACAGTTGCAAAAGTATTGCCACTGAGCCAAATTTGTAGTTATACTTAAAATGAATGAAGCCATAATTCAAAAAAATTATGAAAAGTAAAAAGCCTATTTATTTATCAGCAAAATATACAAACATATGGTTCAAACAAAACAGTTGGTTGCTCTTAAGTAATTGGATGTATGTATAACAATTACTGATGGTCTTACCTGTTTCGTTAAACAAGCAGGTTTTGTGCATTTTGCCCATGAAGAGTTCTAATCCTATAATAGCATAGATGATAATTACAAACAGCACCAACAAAGCGATATGTAGCAATGGGACCATGGCCTTGATGATTGAATTTAACACCACCTGGAGGCCTGCAAACACAAATAAAATGTTTTTATTTTAGAAAATACTGCAATTTTTAAATGGTTGAAATGTCACAATTAATATTGAATATTGGATAATTCCTACAAAGGTTAATGTTTGCACATTCAATTTAGTTGATTTTACGTCTGACAATTCCAAATTGATAACATAAGGTGTCTTAATATTCATACTTCCTGATAGAAGTATAAAAGGGGAATGAGTTACATAGTGTTTATTTCATGAGACTTATTTGAAAAGAAACGGTGATTACAGCAAAGATACGTTTAGTTTGTGATTTTCAATTAAAATTAATATTTAGTGTAACAGCAATGCTAAAAAAACACCTTAGGAAATAGTAAAACCCCCAAGGCACTTGGGCCTGGTCAGCATAAAGGGAAATGGCACTGGATTTTCAGATGAAACTAGGAGTGTTAACCTTCCATTCATTTAGATTGTTTTTTGAAATTACGCTCTGACTTTCATCCTGTCATCAAATGAGGAAAACGGGCAATGATTTCCCTGTACAATTTCTTCCTTTAGGTATAAAAAATGCCTTCAAAGAAATCATGCCAGGTAAAGCTCTTGAGAGTCTCTTTCAGAGTTTACATATAAAGCCTGCAAGGATTTGGATGGACTTTCAAGCATTGGGATATCGTGGGTAGTGTGGACCTGTAGTGATAACAGAAACAATGTTTTCAAATTAAATAATTTTTTGACTACTTATTTTAAAATCTCAAAACAATATCTTATTTGTATGTTCAATTTTACAAGCTATTTACAAACATATGCCTTGATTCTCTGAGAACAGATTAGATTATTACAAGAGTACAACTGATTATTTGTACAAAATATTTGGAAATTCTTTGTAATTCTCCTGCACCAGTAAAATAACTTCTCTTAAAGCCTTACCTCAAAATGTCTGGATCCCAATGCCCCACATCACCCAGAAATGTTAGTTTTATATTATCCTATAAAGAATAGTATTCTAATCCCATGAAAATATAAAAATACATTAGTACTATGAGTCCTGCACGCATTAGAGAAATGAGGCAATTGAATCAACACTTCACAGTAGAGTTTGTGCAAGGAGTTACAGAAAAAACAGAAATATCAGAACATTGAAAGCAAAAAAAAAAAATTCACTGGCATTTTTAGTAATACATAACATATCACTTTAAATCTCAATTACCTAATTACAAAATGGGTAGTTTTCACATAATTAGCACTATTGAAAAATGGTCTTTAATGAAGAAACTATAAGGCAAAATCTTCTCAGTCCCTGAACAATGTGGGAACTGGCAAATCACTTGGGAAAATAGGGTGAGATGGTCAGAAATGAGATCTTTGCAAGAATAAAAGTCAGATTCATCGAACAAATTTGGAACGGTCAGTTCAGGTGCTTGGACAGGATCACTGGACAACTTGCAATGATTAGGATCAAGGACCCATATCACTACAGTTCAGGGAGTGGGCAATGGTTAGTCCTGCAAGTTCAATGCAACCAGTCCAGAAAGCTATTCAGAGATCAATTTGGGATCCGGTTGGTCATCAGTCAGGACTGTCTATCCAAGTTGGTCAGAAGGGTGGGACACAAGTCAGTTCTCGGAGGTCATGTCAAATGAATGTCAAGAGGGATCATTACGGCCACTGCTGTAGTTGTGAAGTTGGGAAAGTATGGGGATTGGAGGCAGCATGCTGGGATGCAGAGGGGACAATACATGTGAAGGAGGGACCTCAATTTATAAGGGTGGAAGACAGTGTATGGAAGGACAGGGGTTACTGTCAGAGGGGGTGTCATTGATGGTCACAACTACTTTGGTTTCAATGGGAGAACAGTGTATCATGATGATTGGCATGGTTAAGCTGTAGGGCTGGGAATTAGGGGGTAATACTGGGAGATGAAGACATAAATGTAAGGAGGATGGGAACTGTCTTAAAGCTCAGTACTGATATGTTTAACAAGGACTGCAAGAAAGAAAGGGACATGAAGGATTGTGGGCAGGGGGACCTTCAATATAATGCTGAGCCTACAACTCACACTGCCAAGCAGGACCTGCATTGCCTTCTTGTCACATTTCAAGAAGGTCCAGGAGGTTGAAGTGTTTAACAAAGTAGGAGTATTATTAAGGTATTGCTGATTCCCTCCAAACCAGCCAATGATACCATCAATGACATCACAGGCGGCACGGTGGCTCAGCGGTTAGCCCTGCTGCCTCACAGCACCAGGGACCCGGGTTCAATTCCATCCTCAGACAACTGTCTGTGTGAAGTTTGCACATTCTCCCAGTGTCTGCGTGGGTTTCCTCCGGGTACTCCGGTTTCCTCCTCCAAAGATGTGCAGGTTAGGTGTATTGGCCATGCTAAGTTGCCCAGAGTGTTCAGGGATGTGTAGCTTAGGTGGGTTATAGGGGGATGGGTCTGGATGGGATGCTCCAAGGGTTGGTGTAGACTTGTTGGGCTGAAGGGCCTGTTTCCACACTGTACAGATTCTATGATCCTATAATCCGACATTTAAAGTGACTGTCCACCATAGTTACCAAATAAATAACACTTCCAAACCTCATGAATCATAAATATGCTCTGAAAATGGAAAATTGCTACAACCACACAATGTGTGTGTAAGGCAGACTTGATAGGGTGAAGGAAGCTGTAGGGGGCAAAGACCATAATATGATAGAATTCGCCCTGCAGTTTGAGAGGGAGCAGCTGGAATCAGATGCAATGGTATCACAACTGAGTAAAGGTAACTACAAAGAATTGAGGGAGGAGTTGGTCAGAGTTGACTGGAAGGGGAGCCCAGTAGATAAGATGGTGGAGCAGCAATGGCAGGAGATTTTTGACGTAATTCAGGAGGCACAGCAGAAATTCATCCCAAAGAAGAAGAAATATACTAAGGGGAGGATGAGGCTGACAAGGGAAATCAAGGTCAGCACAAAAGCAAAAGGAAAAACATATAATGTGGTGAAGATTACCAGGAAGCCTTTAAAAATCAGCAGAGGTCAAACTAATAGAGCAATATGGGTGGAGAAGATAAAATATGAGGGTATGCTAGCTAGTAATATAAAAGAAAATTGCAAGTCTTTTTTAAGATACGTAAGAGGTAAGAGAGAGGGAAGAGCGAATACTGAAATAATGCAAAATGAGGCTGGCGAAGTAGCTATGGAGTACAAAATAATGTCAGAGGAACTGAACAGGTACTTTTCATCGGTTTTCACAGTGGAAGACACCATTAGGATATCAGAACTTCAAGACGGTCAGGCAGCAGAGGTGAGTTTAGTGGCCATCACTAAGGAGAAAGTGCTAGAGAAGCTTAAGGGTCTGAAAGTGGATTATTCACCTGGACTGAATGGACTACACTGCAGGGTTCTGAAGGAGATAGGTGAGGAGATTGTGGAGACAGTGGTGGTGATCATTCAGGAATCACTGGGGCCAGGAAGAATACCAGAAGACTGGATAATGGCCAATGCAACACTCCTGTTGAAGGGAGGGAGGCAGAAGATGGGAAATTACATGTTGGTTAACCTGACCTCAGTCGTTGGTAAGATTTTATAGTCCATTATTAAGGATGAGCTTGTTGAGTACTTGAATGTACATGTTAAAATATGACTGAGTCAGCAAAGCTTCATCAAGAGGATGCCATGCCTGACAAATCTGTTAGAATTATTTCAGAAGGTAGCAAGCAAGTTAGATGAAGGAGAGCCAGTGGACACGACCTGTTTGAATTTCCAAAAAGCCTTTGAGAAGGTGCAACAAAGAAGGCTGCTAAATAAGACAAGAACCCAGACTGTTTGGAGCAAGGTTTGGCATGGATACAGGATTGGCTGACTGGCAAAAGGCAGAAAGTAGAGATAAAGAGATCTTTTTCAGGATGGTAGCCGGTGACTAGTGGAGTTCCAAAGGGGTCAGTATTGGGACCTAAACTATTTACATTATACATTAACAATCTGGTCAAAGGAACCAAGAGTATTGTTGCTAAGTTTGCAAATAACACAAAAATAGGTAGAGGGACAGGTAATATTTAGGAGGAAGGAAGGCTGTAGAAGGACTTGACATGTTAGGTGAGGAGGCAAAGAAGTGGCAGGTGGAATATACTGTGAGAAAATGTGAGGTTATATACTTTGGTAGGGAGAATAGATCTTAGACTACTTTCTAAATAGGGGAAGACTTTGGAAATCTGATGCACAAAGAGACTTCGGAGTCCTAGTTCAGGTTTCTCTTAAGGTTAACATGCAGGTTCAGATGGCAGCTAGGAAGGAAAATACAACATTAGCATTAAGAGAATGGATGTACTACTCAGGCTGTATAAGGCTCTGATCAGACCACATTTGGTATATAATGAGCAATTTGAGACCCGTGTCAAAGGGAGGATGTGCTGGCCTTGGAGGGGGTCCAGAGAGGTTTACAAGAAAGATACTGGGGATGAAGGGCTTTTCATATGTGGAACAGTTGAGAACTCTGCAACTGTACACCATGGAGTTTAGAAGAATAAGAGGAGAATCTCATTGAATCTTACAGAATAGTGGGAGGCCTAGAATGGACATGAAGGTGATGTTTCTGCTAATAGGAGAGACTAGGACTGAAGGCACACCCACAGAGTGAAGGGATGACCCTTTACAACTGAGATGAAGTGAAATTTCTTCAGCAAAGGGTAGTGGATCTATGAACTCAATGGCACAGAAAGCTGCGAAGGACAAATCACTGATTGTATTTAAGACAGAGATAGATAGGTTCTTAATTAGTAAGGGGATCAAAGGTTAAGGGGAGAAGGCAGGAGAATGGGGTTTAGAAACATATCAGCCATGATTGAATGGTGGAGCAGACTCAATGGGCCAAATGGCCTCTGTCTGCTCCTGTATCTTATGGTTTATGGAGAGGGAGGAATAAGCATTTATTTTCAGTCTGAGCATGGGTTCTCTTATGAATAATGAGTTCCTTCAAGAGGCAACAGCATTAATCATCATGGTCACCTATGTGTGAAATGCATGCAGTGTCCAACTATCTGGGTATA